TTGCAGCAGGAGGATGAGATGACAACTATTGAGGACAAGATGGATAAATGAGTTCACCAAAGGTAATACAAGATGTAGTTGCCATAACTACCTAACAGCGCCAAAAAGCAAACGCAGATGGCAAACACGGAACTAAAGCTCAGGCCTGTATCCTTGTGAAAGATGGCCAGTGTGATTTCACAGTTACGTCCAGTATAGCCATCAGGGCAGTGACACTGGAACTTGGTCGGTGACTGTGAGATGCAGGTGCCATAGTTACAGGGCCTTTTAGCACAGGCAGTGTGGACACACTGTCTACCAGTGGCATTCTCCATTATCATGTGTCCCGGAGGGCAACTGAAAAGACAAAGGCAAAATGAAACCATTAAACTTTGAGAAAAGTAAGCATTTAAGATTTTAAAACAGTCTTTGACAACACTCTCTATACAGTTTCTGAAGTAGCTACTGGAAGTAAGTTACTTAGAATAATTAGAGGATTGTAGTCTTTTCTAAAGCAGTGATACAACAGTGAGCTCCACAACTTTAAACCCCTACGCCTGGGGCTTTCAGAACTCTGGTAGTTCCACTGGCTTCTGCAACATTGCCCATGTGAAAAATAGCTGGTTTAGGGTCTGCAGTCCTGTCTAGGCAGGACAAGCTATGCTACGTTCTTTGTGAATTTCCAGAAGGAAAATACATCTCTAGAAAACTCTGTGTGGACAGTGGCAGCCAGTAATGCTTAAAGCGTATGTTTTCACAGCACAACTAATTTGAATTAGTGGTGTCCTAACCTCAGCCCCAGCCACACACAAGAACTCTGAGTTTAATGATGCGGTGCTTCTAATGCAACTTGGAGCGGCCTGTAAGGGAACAGAGGTCACAGCTTAGGACAGTATAAGTCATCAGACACTAACAAAACAAAGCACATCTACGTTGCACGACACGAGCTCCACAAGACAGCTAGCTATGCGAGCGTGCCACTCCACTCCAGCTAACATGCCCTCTTTTCCTGGTTTTCAGGGTTTACAAACATTCTGGACTTGCTGCTATTCTTTAAACATTTTCAATTAAGAGAGGTGGCTGAAATGGTTACAGAATCGGTGGAGATAGGCTGATTTGCGTCAGCTAAGGGTAGTACCTAAAAGACAGTGTTCTCTGAGTAACCCAATGTGTTTCACTGTGGTTCAACTGATTTGATGAGATTGCCAGTGGCAGCCTTCAAGCTGCACACTTCTTCAGCATCCACCCTTTCCCACCTGAATCTGAAGGGTTTCATGCTTGTATTCCCACCAATTACCTGCATTCATGCATCATCCACAAATCAATACAAATAAATTCCTGGTTACAAGGGTTATTCCTACAAGCCTCTGAAGAACAGCCTTCTTTGATGCCTTGGGCACTTAATACTGACACCAGCTCCTTCACGTGAGTATCCAGCGGGATCCTGTAGTTATTAAATCTGACATCCTTCATACATCCTGAGGCAAGGCACAAAGAGACTGTTTTAAAAGCCATTTGGCAAGAATGATTTGAAGCATCTATAAGATTTGGCAGTTTATGTTTAACAAAGGACCCAGGCTACCAAAGTTTAAGCATAGCACTGAATTTACCTAAACTTTCATAGCATTGTCCTCCATTTTTTGACTGAATTTGTTAAGGTTTTGATCAAGATTCCCTGTGTTTTCCACAAGAACCAAGTGCTACAGGTCCCCATCTGCTTGTGTTCAAGACAGTGGAACAGGTACCCTTTCGCTACATTTTCAACAGAAAATTCCAAAGACTGCAGAAAACCTGTTATATGTGGAAAATCTGTTATATTCTTCAATGTGTACCAGTATAAATTGTGATTGGTTGATTTTTAATTGTAGTTTACAACTTGACTTTATAGAAGAGCAAACCACAAATAACGGTGCAAGAGCCTTGGGTGACTGATAGAAATCTTGTACTGAAGATGCGTGACATTAATTTCATATGCGCCAAGATGCCTCAGTATAAAAGCATGCACCTAAAACATACACCTTGAAGAATTAAGTACATTTTATAACTTCAAAGCCCTTAAATTTTCAGCTGGTTAAAAGCAACATTAATTGTCCTAATCAAAATGACATTCAGGTAACCATTTGACTTCTTTAATCTATTTACTTAAAACCAAATACCATTACTCCCATAAATAAAAATTTGAAACATGGTGCCTAGTTCTCAGCTTAAACTTTAGTAATTGGAACACTTCTAGTGAAACAGTAGATAAATTATTTGTGATACACTTATGTTGTAAGTTGTTATTCTATTTAATGCATGTATATTTTTTACTTCTCCTCACACTTTTACTGTGTTACTCGCTGAAATACTTTTACCTGGTGAAAACATGACCTTGTTTCAAATGCGTTTACTAGAATCTGGTTAAAGAGATGAAAGGGGTGGGAGAGAGAGGTGATAGACAGATACCAGGCGCATTTAACCAAGCAACGGTGTGTGTCTTCCTTGTCAATACAAAAGATGTGCTGCACGACTGTGCATTGCTTACACTGTGATTTTAGGTGAAGGGCGAGCTGCCAACTGAGGGCAAAGTAAAAAACTGTTAGGGATAGCTCAACCTTATGTTTCTCTGTATTTCTCCTTTGTGTAACTATTAAATTTCCAGGCTGAAAACTGATTTGTTTTTTAACAATTTTAAAAATTTGAATTGTTTTCTCTATTCAATAAACCATTTCTAATTTTAGTTAATGCTTCACTGAGTGACTGTAAAATCCAATAATACAAAGGTAGTGCATAAAGGTAATAAACCAGTTTGTTGTGTGCTGTGCACTGCACATCTAAAATGGAAATATTCCTTTCAGCACAGAGACAGTTGTATTTGGCAGGGAAGGAGAGCTGCCAAATGGACTGGATAGAATATGCAATGAACCAGTTCTGTGTATCTAATGCAATGAGCTATCCTCAGTCCACCTGGGAGAAGCTTGTGGATCTCCACTTCCAAATACTCCACATACAGTCATGTGAGGTTACTGTCTGTGTTCCAAGTCCAGTAGCTTACAGTATTTGCACATAATTCCCTGCTGTACCTTTTTCCTAGTCAGAACAGTTTATTTGTCCCTTTTGCAAAGCATCATGCAAGAAATCTGTTTACTTTGGGCTCTACATAAACAAGAAAGCTTCTCACAATAGGCCCAGGTAGTACCAATAAACCTTCATTTTTACAGGTTCATATTCTGAACTCCAAGATCAAAAATTCCTCACCTTGAAAACTCTTGTTCTGATTGAATGGGTAGGTGTTTCCAAGGACCAAGCTGCTGGGGTCAATCACAATCTCTTTATATACTCCTGCTGCTTTCAGAATTTCTCTCTTCCCACCTCCTTCATAAAGGCGAAGAGTAAATTCATTTTCATTTCTCTCCAGTGTGATATGATGCCATTCACCATTATCAATGTGGTAGGAGGGAAGGCTTACGGAATAGTCTCCATCACCCAGATTATACGAGACCACTAAGAATCCCTGAACAACCTTGTGGATAATTAACAAAGTAGTAAGAAAAAAAAGAAAAAGTCATCACCTGACATTTTGTATTGACCTGTAACTGTCACATTACTTGAACTAAGACTCATATGTAATCAATCTTAAAGCATATGTTTAAATTTAGGGTATGTTTACACTGCACATACAGTGTAATATAAAGATACTTCAGGTGCTACTGAACTAAACTAAATACTGGTAGCAATGTATTCACAGTAGTATGCAATTCACTTGGAGTAATTTTACCCTGCTTCTCTCTTGGACAAATTTGTGGGGTTCTTCAAATGGCTGAGAATCTGGTGTATCACTTCTGCGCTGACAGCAAAAACCAGCTTGGCTGAAGAGGTGACTCATTCAGTGGGTTGTATAAAATGAACAGGTTGTCATTTTGAGAGGCTGACATCATAGAACTGCTACAGGCACCTTTCTTGGCAGGGTCTGAACTATGCAGAATTGGCCACTCGTGACCACAGCTGAATAGGACAACAGGGTAGACACACTACTCATCCGATTCTGTAGAGCAAACTGTACTTCACTGTAACTGCCAATAAATTCGTTTGAAATCCTATGGGATACCATGGTTGCGTGGTCAATATCTTAAGTGAAGCATCAGATCTGTAAGTGTCCATAAAACAAATTCTGATGGTTTTGTGCTTAGCTAAGGTTTTCGGTTCCATTTCCAACACTTAAGCGTTTCTCTGGGCTAACTATTCACTGGCATTGATTTCACTTCATGCTCTTACTGTCTGGGTTGCCTTGCTCACCTGTAAGGTGATGTGTTCATCCTTATTTCGAGACAACATGCTTGTGATGACACTGTCAGGCTGCCGCGTCCTAATCATGGCTTCAAATAGCGTCCTACGGGCAGGCACACTGACAGGAAGCTGATAGCGAATGTGACTTCCTGGCCCAAATGTATATTCTTTGGCGACTAAAAAGACAGGATAAAGACCTTTAAACCATTTTGTAGGGAGAGGGAAATGTTATCTTTTCCATTATTTTCATAATAAGAGTTGAAAGTAAAAGAAAAAATTGTAATATGCAGCATGGATCCATGAGACATAACTTGTCTTTTGGGACATGTCCCTTGATCTATTTCCAGAACTTCCCCAGTCACTCTCCCACCTCATGTTCCTCTGTAAAGAGGTGATCTCCCTTCTGACTTGATCCTGCTAATGTTTCTCCTTACAATGTTCACACAGGATGAACGCAGGAAAGCAAAACCTCTGACCAAGACAAAAGAAGAGACTGCAGACAAAGCATTAAGTACCACAAACAATTTTCACTACCTGCTATCTTATAGTTGTCCTTTTGCTGCAAACTTTGGGTCCATGAGGGCTAAAGAAAAGATCCTACTATACCAAAAGCACAGATCGTTAAGCCAATAGAGTCTCTTCCAGACACCAATAGAGCAGTGATTTCCAATTCCGGTTGCGCGGTTCTAATTCTGCACAGTAAGTGGTACTGGCACATTCACATTTAAGTTTTAGGTTATTAGATATTTATGAAAGTGTAAACAGATGCAAATTCAAAAAACTGTGATAAGAACAAATAATTTTGTTCACAATTCTTTTGTCATGCAGTCTCCGTTGTACAGTTATTGCACAACCACCCTCAGGACTAAAGAAATTATCTGATACTGAGAAAGTAATTTGTCAAAGGGAATTAGAAAATAAATTGTTAAAAATCACAGGCAACTACACTGAAACATGGCTTTACACGATGTAAGTATCAGAAACCACCTCAGTAATCACTACCTGCAAGCATTTTAAGTTTTCTGTATTGTATAATTTACCAGCCTATATAATGTAACAGAAAAACAGACTTCACCTTTATCACATCGATAGCCGTAGTAACCCGGCAAACAGTGACAAGCAAATGAGCCCCAGTCTCCAAGACACCTCCCATGAACACCACAGGAAGAAGACCCCATGGTCTCACAGCTCCCATCCGTAAGTGTGCAGCCAGGGAAGCTATTCAGGGACTCTGCAGGAGACTGAAGGTCATATACCTTCAAGAAAAAATTGTGTGACACCAAAATATTATATAAGAAACACTTACACTTCATTCTTAAACAGAAATAGCTATACCACACAACGGTCTGTTCTTCATCTGCATTGCTTAAGATGCTAAGTTTGCTTTTTGACATTCAAATTTCAACTTATTTTATCAAGACCATATTTTGCCTTTGAATAAACTCAACTGACTATGAAAGCAAAAAAACCCCTAATATTTCCTAACAAAGCAGACAGCTGGCATAAATATACCATTATACAATTGCCATTCAGAAGTTCCCTGAATGCACAAAGAAGCTTGGAAGACAGCTGCATGAAGCAGGAGATAAACAAAGGCACAGTTTCTGGCTCACAAATACATCTGTTTGTAATTGAGAAATAACTTTTCAAGGTAGTTATTCTAATTATGACAGAAAAATCCAGAATTTTCTTGTATTTTACACTGACACATATAGACAACTGAATAGATTAATGAAAGCAAAAGTTTCAGGTATAATACAAATCTCCCCAAAATTTAATGAAGAAGTTTACTTCTTTGCTAAAGCAAACGGTTACATTTCGCTTACCTGAGTATCCAAGATGAAATTGCGCAAACAACCAGAAAAGTGTTTGTGTAGCAGTTGAGGGTAGGAATATGGTAACGATTCTTTTACACCACCCAGCTGTAGAACATGGTTTGCATTCAAATACCTTTAAAAATTATATGAATAACAAAAATAGATGTGAATTTACCTTCGAACATATGCATTATATAATGAGGCACATAAACAAACATCTACACTGCATTTCCAAATAACAGAGGCTTTATAAAATAACAAAAGAATGCAACTATTTTATCTACTTCTTCTTCTGAAATACAGTCAGTCAGTGAGCAGGAGACAGCCCTTTAAAATAAAGGGTAATTTATTTGTTAAACATGACAGTGCAGTCTATTGGCAGTTTCACTGTGGGACACTTACAGTTCAGGTATGTTTGTGTTCAAGTCAGGAACAGCTGTGATATTCTAGACACCGTATCCTCCTTCAAGTGCTTCTGTGTGTGCACATTCATCCTATGTTGTAGGAATACTACAACAAAAACTGTTTTGTGTATGATAAAGGTCAGAAACCTTAAAGTTGAGTCAATGTGGTTTAAAAGGTACAGTACACATTGTCCAGGCTCTGCAATGTCTCCCAAACATCTCTCTGAGCCAAAGAATTCCACATATTTTAGTCCTCGTGGAGTTTCTTTTTCCCTGTGTTACCAACTCAATTTTTTGTTTTCATTTGTTCTTATATTATTCCCTTTCTTGTGTGCTCCTTTCATGACCAGGAGGGCTCCATGCGTATGCTGACAAGGCTTAATCCCAATGCTAATCAGCACACTTGCTGGGACTATCTATTCCACAGCTCAAGTATCTTATTAGTACAATGGTTTCCTTAAAATATACCCTGAATATTCCTCACTGTAAGTTAAGGCCCTGTACAGAAGATTGTCTAAATCGTCTTCATAGTATTCTTTTATATACACTGAGACTTATCAAATCTCTCCTCTGTTTTCCCTTCTTTCAGTTAAGTGACCTCAATTCCTTCATTATTGATAGGTCTTATTCTCAAGGCAGGCTGGTTACAGTCATTGCTCTTCTCTGGACTATACCCAGTTGGTACACATCTGTCCTGCCCTGCAGTGCACAAACTGGACTCCCAGCTAAGGCCCAACAGCGCTAACCAGAGTGCAAGAATTACCTTCCATATCTGAGAGATCTACACATGCCGAGGTATTACCGTGTAGTGCTTGCCTTTTTCATGTTAATGTGGCATTGCTGACTCACTTTCTGACTGCCATCTGTCTCTTTTACTGATACTTAGCAGTTGTTCCCTTCTCCATATTTGTGAGGCTGGTTATTTCTGCCTACATGCAATACTGGGCCCTTTGTTGTAGTGGAAAAATACAGTATATTTCCAGGTCCTATTTTCTATTTGCTGAAATAATTTTTAATTCCAAGCCACGCCCTCCAACATAGTGGTCATTTCTCCCAGCTTGGTGTATCAGCAAGGGCAATAAGCATTAGTCCAAAAGATTGAATTATACTGAATCCAACCCTTCCATAATGCAGCTGAACACATCCTTCTGCTTTGAATGTACTAATTGCTTTTTCAATAAAATTTTCTGACTTTTTCAGTTTTAACTGAGGATAAGGGCTGACCCAACAGCACAAGCAATTTAAATCACCAGAGTCATTCTCGCACTTTGGCTGTATTACTTTGCTGCAAAGCAAATGCAGGTGGATTATACGTCTCAATATGAGATGCTGCAGCTCACAGTCAGGCACGCCATCACCAGACTACTTTAATCAGCAGTTTACACGAGGGCACCAGGCTGTGAAGCGAAGAGCTGAGATACGGATACATGTGCACCTCCTCTGACTGCTACAAATGCAGTATCCTTGGATCTACTGGAGACAGTTGCCTTAATACATTCATCAAAGGTTGTCAGTAGGATCCCTCAGATTTATACCAATCAGATCGTGAGATTGGTTGATGATCCAGAGTTATTGCTATTAAAAAGTCAACTGGCCTAATTTAAGAACAAGAACAACAGTGATTTGATAAATAAAGTGAGAGAAATCCTGTGAGTAAGGGACGGTACACAGCACCCACAAAAGCTCCAGTATTAGCCACATGGTGTTCTGGGGTTGTCATTTAGTACTGCAACGCTACTCGGAGGAAGACTCGTCCTTAAAATTTGTGTAGTGCTTTAAGGTCCACACTTGGGCCAGAAGGTCTTAGAGAAAAGCAAATGCTTTTATGCTCCTAATCATTAGTAACTTTGCTTCAATTTGATATGTAAAACGTTCAAAGGCCTTCGAATAAACTGCCTTTCAGTGAATCTCCAGAAATGTACCTTGCCCTTCGTGGAACAGACCCAAAGACTTCACAATTTGTACGATCTTCAGTGGACAGCCATTTGCCTACTCCTTCTATCTCTGAAACAACAGCTGCACTGCAATGATCCAAAGTGAATCGAACATCCTGCACCGAAACATAGGATTATTGAATTAAGAATTTCTGTCAAATTCAATAAACAAGTTATATCAAATTTTCATCTTTTTCTCTGCATACCATCATGCAGAAAGGGCTGGGTTTTTTTCCCACTCCATTTTCCATCTTGCAATAAGCAGTAAAGCCAAAATGGCACTTCCAAATTGGAACTTAAAGAAGGCACTTAACTCTGCACTTAATTTATGCTTCTGAGTAGTTTAACCATTTTCACAAAGACTGCAACTGCATTTGCAAATAAATAATTATCTGCTTTTTGTGCATAGGTAATTGATTTCAGTGCCCAAGTGCATACACTGAATGTGCGATTTACAACTAAGCCTTTATGCACATTCCGCAGGTGTTGCAGAGCTTAAAAAACAGAAAAAAGAGACCTCTGATCCCAGGATATGGATTACAACATAGGTAAATTTGGAATTGACAATGCTGCCTTCCCAAAACTCGCATTATTCATCAAATCTCCAGGGACAGTTAGAATAATCTATGCAATCACCCAGTCTGTTTTTTCTACCCTCCTGTTTCTGCAATGGCAAATGCTATTGGAAATACAAATATCCTGATGTGGGGGGGGGGGGGGGGGGAAAAAATATCCAATAACTGACCTGACCACTGGTTCTGACTTCTAGTTGATGCCACTTTTTGTCTGCTACATTCAGGTGACTTGGAAACTGCAGCATCACAAAACCTGAGCCATGGCTCATTTTCAGCACAGGAATACCACCGGAGAGTTCTAATACAACATGAAAAAGAAATTAAATTCAGCTACGAGAATCTTTCAATTTTGGATATCTTAGCAGTTAGTGAAGGTACTGATTTAATGGTTACTGCTAGTCACATGAAGCAGGATTCACTATAGAAATAACTAGAATTATATTCTATAACTTCTATTCTGCAGAAATACTAACTGAATATAGTATTTATTTTTATAGTTTAGATTGTGCCAGTTCTTTGTCAAAACACTGGAAGTAATTCCTGATAAGCAATCCGCAACTTTATAATGCTCTAAAACAATTAAAACATGCAGGTTTTGCTTCCTCCCGTCTTCTACTCAAATTTACAAGTAACTGCAAAACAAAGCAAAAAAGAGGTTACTGATTAACAATAGCCAACAACTTTACCTTTCAATTAATTAGGAAAATATAAAATACCAGCCAGACTGTGCAACTTGTATATTAATTCACAAAAAATAAGTAGTAGTAACCTTTTAAATATGTGTCAACATAAAGCAATGAGTTCAACTTGTGTATAAGTTTTCCTACAGTGGCACACTGGGGCTGGATTCATGTGTTAAATCACTGCCTGTTTAAAAAAAAGTGTAAAAATGCCCCAAGAGTGAGAGCGGTTTAAGTGGATTTCTTTTCTCACCAAATTGATAAGAATTGCATGTAACTAAGACTGCATTAATCATGGGATACAAATATAATAATAATACAAATTATAATAATAATACAAATATAATAATAATACAAATTAAAAAAAATTAATACAAATACTTCAAAGTACCTAAATTCCTTTATAGCACTACAGCTTTCCTACCAGGATTATTTTTTTATCTATATCAATCTGTCTATCTTACTTTCCCCTTGATTTCCACAACTCTGCGATGGACCTAACACCAAAGGTGCAGGCTATGAAAATAGACTTCAAAGAAGAAAGAGCTATCAGGAAATGCTTCAAAATATTTTTAAACCAGAGAATAAACTATCTTGTAAGATGGAAAGACAGAATTCATACTCTAACTACTACACTGTTCACAGGCAACCCATTCCCAAAAGACATTTAATTTTTTCACACACTTTTGCAGAAGTACCTATTGCAATGAAGTTTTCTGTGCTCCCAGGTTCTGGATTTGATAAAGGACCACTGTATAGTAAAAGTCCATCTGGAACCACAGTAATGAACTCGAGAGAGAGAGAACTTTCAAAACACGGCCTGATGGGACGAAACCATGCATAACCATTTCCATGGAAACTGTGCTTAGTCTGTTGGCAGTCTGGTCCATGAAACGAAGCAGGACAAAGACATCTGAAAGAGCACAAACACAAAAAAATAGTCAAAATTCCCCAATGTTCAACTTTTTTTGGTTTTACATGCAACAAATGTAGCACTTAAATCACAGTAGAAAATAGCAGAGAAACAATGAAGATTTTAGCAGAGTGTCAGGGGTGCTTAGCAATAATTAATATACTTTAAGACTACAAAGTGTATTTATCCACGAATAATATCTCCATCAAATAAATATTTTTGAGGCCATATTTTTGAGAATGATGAATTATTTCACTAAGTAAGTAACACAGAACACCAAACATCAACTGGTCAATGTACTACAAATAAAACTCAGGGAGGTTAATTCCTAGCTAGAATAAACCAGTATAATTTCACTAAAGGAATACTGGTGCATGCCAGGTGATGCTGTAATACAGCAAGTTTTATGTCTAATGTTTTCTAGACTGCTTATTACCCATCGTTTAAACCACATTTCTCTCCCCCTACATCCCTGCTGCTACCACCAATATTCACCTTTATTATTACTCTTCTGGAAAAGGAAAAGAAGAAAAAACACAGCACACTTCCCATTCCTTCATACTCAATTAGGTGCTCTTAAAAAATGACACGTGTTAATTATACCACTGTTTTTTCCCCAGGGTTTTCTTTCTTACTCACATAATATTTCCCCTGCTTTCAGGACTACAGCACCATTATAGGCCTGTAGTTAGTAAAGACTCTGTTGTCATTAGATTTGCACTCCAGTGCACTCATGGGCTTTTTTTGTTTCTCCTTCAGTCAGAAGTACATTTATGATTTTTTTAGACCTGTATCTTGTAAGCTCCACTCGACACTTTAAAAATAGAAGAAAAAAAGGAAGAGAATCTACAATACAAGTTTCCTCACCTGTAACCATTCAAAGTGTCAATACACATCCCACCATTGAGACAAGGGCTTCGAGGGTAGGAGGAACAAGAGTGATGAACCCTGTCCCGAGCTGAACAAGTGCAGACCGCATTGACGGTGGCCGTTACAGAGACAAACGACACGCTTCCAGTATCCATCACTGTTGGGATGTCACTCACGGCGAGGTAGTTTGTACAACCGTTGCCCTCACTACAATTTGCACTCCTACATTCATCTACATCGATCTGTGAAATGTTCAACTGTAAAGCTGACTGGATCTAAGAGAAAATACAGTTGCATTCAGTAATAATGTCCACAGACAGCCTGACAAGACCACTTTGTAGCAATTAGGATTCAGCCTGCTGATTCGTGCCCCATAAACTTACATTTAATGTCAAACTGTCTGAAACAAAATGCAGTCAACTCAGCATACTGGATACTGTATTCTGTTCTACATTAATCTTTGCTATTTCATTTTTTTTATTATTAATTGGGGTTACACCTAAAAGCCCAAATACCCAAATAAAGAGAAGAGCCTCACTGTATATATAGGTCTTGTAATGTAGTCATAGTGTCTCCACAGTTTGCAGCTTCTAATCTGACCAGACCAAATAACAACTAGTAGAAAGCACAAAGAAGGGAAAGACGCTGTTCACAGTAAGCCTGAGGACAGCAACAGGGCTGCCACTATTTCAGACTTTTTGTACTTCAGCAGTAGCCTATACCTTGGACTAAGTTATCATTAGTTTGTTCCTGGCACAACAGATTTCTTCCTTCTACTTGTTTGGGAATTTTTCACAGGTGTCTATAAGGTCTCAGAATTTCATTTGTATTTGGTGATTCAAATACATTAAAGTGATGTCTACTTAGTGCCCAAACCTGAATACAAGAGACCCCACTACTCTCACGGCAGTATACACTGAGGTATACAAATGTAAAACTAACAACATAAGATCAGGCTTAGACTCTCTTTATTTATACATTTAATAGGTATTTTTTTCAAATGATAAAATGCATTACAAATATTTTAAAAATAAGCTTTGAAAAGACCAAACACATAAATACTAAAGTGCTTCTATTTTTTTTAACTCATGCAGCCATCTCAATTCACCACTGTAAGAACTTTGACCTTTATAATCAATTGTCAGTATATCCTCAAATATCATAACATGTATTGAAAAACATGTCCCCAAAGGCATGACATATATTTTATAATGACATGATGCATCCTGTCATGCAGTTTCATGCATGCTGCCCACATCTATCACCATTAGTAGAGAGTCTGTAATGCACATTTAGACAGCCGTGCAATACTGTTACAGAAAAACATAGCGTATATAAACAACCTCGCCTCCTTTACAGTATTAGGATGGATTCTTTTTCTGCTAAATAAAAATAGTTGTTGTAAAGCTATATCCCAAGGAGGTAATGCAAACATATTATTTATTTAGCATTTCAATGAATAATTCCTGTGCTAATTACTTATTTTCTATATTTATAGTTAAACACATGTACAAAAACTACTCAAGAAATTCTCCACTTATGTTTGGTTTTCTGTAAACTATTGGTGATCACTCACTAGAGCTATTCATTAAATATTGAAAGGTGATATAAAATTAATACAAACATATTTCTTCATTAAAATATGTGAAGCAATCCCCTTGCTACCACTTTGATGAATTCACCTGCCATATATTATGGCACAGAATATTTGAAATCTATGCAATTTTCTATATTACTGTTGCAGTAATTCAATAAATAGGCAAAAGAAGCAGTCATTATGCTTCATGAATACTGTCTGTCTCTGGTATTTCCTACCTGGTCACTCTGAAGAGTCTCATAATCCACCCAACTGTTTAAGATACAGAAAGATGAAGGCAGGTGGTAAGTTAAGACATTTCTGTTTGGTTCCCAGAATCAGGCAGACCCAACCATATTCACACAAATAGAAAGCGCTGTTTTCTCTTCAGGAAAAATCCTCCACAAGATGTACCACATATCAACTCAGATATGCCCCATAGCCACAAATGACATGTCAGGAAGCACTGCCTTGCCCAGAGCAAGTTACAAGCCAAGTAGTGGCATCTTGCCTTTGTGCCAGGCAGCAGCTTTAGTGTCTATTCAGCAGCATCTGCAGAACTTCAGCAAAGCCAAAATCTGGAGGACTACAGAAAATAAAAGTTGGGCCAAGACAGACTGTGTCTGGGTAACTGAGTTAAAGGGTGTGCAGGATCTAGTAAGAGCGCAGGACAGTTAGGGAACATCAGGAAGTGGAAGAAAACATTTCACATTCAAAAACTATTTTCCCCTTATAACACTAAGAAAAGCTGGGGGTGGGTGTCACTTTGCATTTAAAGTTCGCCTTTGTTGAGTTAAATACAATCACAAAACTGGTCGTCTCCATCTCCATTCATCTGTTGTAACTGTTCTTCTAACCTGTATATTCCTTCCAGCACTATTTTTTCTATGGACCATCATGTCTTTGTACAGTAGAATTTCCATCTGGGTGGTATCAAGCCTCTACTATAAGTGCCTAACCACACGCTGATGATTTGGGCGTTTCCATCAGCATCTGGAATGTCCAAAAAGCTGACATTTTGAAGACATTCTCTGTACTACAGTAACACTTTGCCTTTTAGGGATTCTTCTGATTTTATATTTGAAAGTCTGATCGATTACACAATGAAGCACTGACTGGAGAAAACACAATTAACTGTACCATGATGGTAATGGAGAAACATCTTTCTGCAACTAAAAACTGGTTATATTTATTGAACCAGAAGTTAGTACAACCACACAGTAATTGTATGTATGGACTAAGGAGAAGGGAGAAAGCTTGAATTAAGCACTTGCTTGACAAGAGTTTTTGTCCTGAGTGAAGCAAAAAAACCTTATCCGTAGACCCAGCATATTCTTTCACTGAGGTCTGGGGTGTATACCTTGCAAACTCAGTATTTGGGTGAATTACACAGATGCACAATAACCCTAGAGAATATACCTCATTTTGAAATGCTGCCATCTCAGCATGCAGTTTCTCAGGTCTGTAATATGCCGAGCCACCATGGACTGCAAATCTTACATCTGTCTGTTTTCCATCAACGTTCATCACACTAAAGACAATGATATCACTAAACTTAGCAGGTAACATTTTTGCTAGTAGTTCCTTGAACTTGTCATGTCTTGTTTGGCCGTGTTCATCTCTCCTTATGAAGTCCTCTGCTGTGACATCTAAGTTTGGAATCCAAAAACAGATAAACATGAAATACTGTGAGACCACAGTTAAATTTCTCAATTTATTTCTTATTTAACAATATGGAAACATACTGGAAAGTGCCCTACAGTGATAAGTAAATCAAGTATTGATGTAATAATACCTACACCACATAATCATTCAGTTATAGAAGCAGCTGATCTAAGCTCTCACCAGCAAATAAAACTAACCTGATAGACGCACAGTGGCTGAGTTTTGTACAGCTTCATTTTCCATCTCTCTGACGTGGATTTGTACTGTAGATATAACATCAGGACAAACTCCATCAGAAACTCTAACTTTTAAGTTGTATATTCCTTGAGGAGTCTTATCCACCATCATCAAAGAACCAGTCCTCTGATTTAATCTGAAAGATCTAGACATGAACCTTCAATTAGGAAACCTTAATAAATCAAAATTGAGAACTTATTTTATTCATTCACATAATTCAGAAGGTCTTAAATGTTACTATGAAGGTTACAGGATCAAAACTTATGGGAATTAACAACCAACCTCATAAAAGCACCAGAAACACCTTAACTCAGAAATTACAATCTACAGAGCTTATAGAAAAATGTTTCTGCCACTTCCAAATAGCCAGACTTTCCCAATCCTGAATATGAGCAGGGTGTAGATGAACCGTGTGGTTCAACATAGTCATCATGAGCAGGTCTAAGAGATAAGTAATAGAGAATGAAAAAACCACACAAATTCATTCCAGATGCTGCTCATTTATCCATATGAAACAGGATAAAGTCTGTATGAAATCTCTGATATCATCTTCTTTTGCCACCTCAAAGGGACAATAATCATTAATTATGGTAAAATTCCATGTTCCACGTTCCATTATGGAACAGTAACCTCTTAATATGGAAAAAGGCCCAGGGGCTGCTGATGGACAGAAAGTCAGTCTTTAGTTTTGGGCTACATGAAGTTTTTAAACTCTAATTCACAGCAGAAACAAAAATTCACATTCATTTTCTGTATTTCAAACAGCATACAATTACGCTATATGCCAACTCACTTCATGATATGAACAAATAATGTATAAGTAGGAAATAAGGATCCAATTCAACATTTCAATTAACAGAAAGAACTCCACTAATGTAAGAGTCATGGGTTTTGCATGCAATTGTAAATTTAGCCATCAATAGAGATCACCAAATTCCCTTCCATTTTTGAAGAAATTATTCCATTCTGCCCTTTTAAGTCTGGGATTTGTATTCCATCAACTCTAACATTTGAGGGCAAGTATTAAAAGCTCTGCCTATTTTTAAATTAGATCTTGCAGAATGCACATTTTAGAATAAATTAATGATGACATCTGACTAAAAATCAACAACATGGTGTGAGCCTGCATTCTCTGGGAAAAAAACATTTCATGCATTAATTTCTTAATACATAGTTACCCAAGTAAAAAAGAAAAAGAGCATTCAGAAGGTACATTCCTTAATACACTCAACAGCCCTGGCTTTATACACGTCCTGAACACAGAGAAATTCATGGCGAGTAAAATAATTACAGAAGCATAAATATTACTCATTTTGACACAAATACAACCCTCACTTGAGCAGTTTTCCTTCAGAGAGAAATGTTTTATTGTCCCACTCATCTTGATCTGGTGCAAACACTTCCCCAAGCACTGTTGTTGACCATTTTCCTGTTGAGATAAATTATAATAAATCTGCATTTAATTTTTGCTTTTCAGTGTACTTTATATTCTGCCGCATTCATTACTGTACTTATTATTTCCAGATTCCTGCTCAATTTGCTGATGGTTATGATCCAAGATTCTTAAAATAATGCAAAGCCTTTCATACGATTTCTGTCAGTCCTGGACATGTGAGTACACTATGGATGTCACATGAAAGAAGAAAAGCTGAAAACAACACAAAACAACAACAGAATGATACATAAATACAACTCTCTATAAAATTCTCAGACAAAAAAAAAACCAAACAAACCAGCACATCAGGAGTTAATTTCCAAATGTTTCATTACTACTCTACTATTTCAAATGGCACACCAGTGGAATCCAGCAAAAGAGGGAGAGCATCTTGTGGGGTGCAGCTGGGAGAGAAGGACATGACCAAGGAAAGGAAATGGGCAAGAAGCCACCAAGCTGTGCCAGTTCTTGGCCCTTTTTTCAGGCCCCTGTGGGCTGTCACAGAAGTGGAACATCCAAGCAGCTGTTCTAAAATAGCAAAAGGAGCAACTCCAGGGAAGGAGACCTTTGAAATCCACAGCCAAGATCCAGCAACATGGGAAATTTTCAAGGAAATGTTCAAATCTGGAGCCAATCCACCCTAAGAAGTTCAATCTTTCATTTCTACATTAAGATCTGGTCACATCTTTTTCTAATTTAGGCATACTGAATTCAGCAAAAATAACTCACTGCAAAATTACCTTCTGCAGGTTAATCTTCTCTAATATTTGTCAGAAATTCTACCATTGCAATGATAACTGAGATATAGCCAAGTCTATCTGGAATGGAATATTTGGGGAAAGGCATAATAAGCCATGCTTAATAAGGGCCACCAGGACTAGTTTAAGGTCAAGTTTTATGGGTAATTTCAGGAAAAAAACACAGTAATAGAAATTCAAGACAAATTTTAGAAAATACTATTAAATGTTTCATCCTCTGTTAAACCACTCTGATGAGAAAATGTAAAGCATTCACTGAATGGATGCATTTGTTCTGCTCTCTCCCACGAGAACGTTAAACCTTATAGTACTGTGGCTGCTATCACAGAGCAGCTCTCCTGCTAGTATTTCGTGAACTAGGTACTGTGCAGAACAGTATCTTTTTTTTTTTCCAGTTCAAAGACTACATGTTGTATGAAGCAGTCACATACTGCACCCCAAAGATTATTCTTTTCCTAAAAAAAAAAGCACCGATCCAGCTTTCTCTCAGATCCTTTCTTGACAGCAGAAAACCTCCTTCCAAAAGATTTCTATCCTGCTCAGATACACAGTGGCTGTCTCAGTACAGGTGTGACTGGTCTACAATTTCTGGGTAGGGCTTATCTATGAACTTCTGTTTCTCTAAGTTGCTTCAGTTCTGCCATTCTCATCTCCAGATTCCTCAGCATCAGATACTTTCCCAATCATGTGTGCACATACACAAAAAATTTTCCTCTGTGTAGGTGAAAACTAATCAACAGAAAATACAATTTCTCAGTTTATAAACTTGCTTTTTCTGCAAGTGCAACATACACTTGTTTGCAGCTAACATTTTTTTTGGTAGATGATCTTTTACACACTAGGGTCTAAGCTTCACAAATATACATTACTTGTTCCACTTTATTTAGTTTACAGAATTGGAGCTTCAGTTTCAAAATATGTAAACCATTTAATAAAATTAAGAACTGCAAGACAGAAATTATGTGTAAAACTGTTCTATATTCATGAATCTGATATAATATCCAGATAGCACTTACCTTTGTAACTGTACACATAGACTTCCTTATGGCCAGATTCATGGCAGTTGTCATTTTCATCACCAATTGTTATAGTTAGGGTGTTTGTAGAGCTCATAGCTGGAGTCCCACTATCTGTTATAACTATTGGCAGATGAAACACCTTCTGCTTTTCTCTGTCAAAGGACCTCAAAGCAGTTATAGTTGCTGTGTTATTTCTGTTGTCAGTAAGAGAAAAATCCAAAGAATTCTGATAATCTGGTGGCAATGAAAATGTAAAGGGTGGCCCATTTACTTCAGTGTCTGGATCAAATGCATGAAGCAGTTTTGATGTATGGTTCATATACACTATTTCAGGCTTCAGTAAGTTTTCCCAAACTACAGGCATGTATGGTGCCTCAAACCTTGGTCCACTGTCATTAACATCAAGCAAGTTAATCAAAACTGTAATACTTCCAGTGCGGGCAGGTGTGCCTTGATCGGCAGCTTGTACAACTAAACTGTATTTTTGCATGACTTCACGATCTAGTGTATTTGCCACAATCACATGACCATATTGGTCAACCGCAAACTGTCTCATAGGATCTGAATCTGACTTTATAGAATATATAATGTTCCCATTCAAACCAGAATCCTTGTCTGTAGCTCTCACTGTGGTTACTGTAGTACCTACAGGCATGTCTTCAAAGAAAGGGCTCGTCTGAATAAACTGAGAAAGGAAAACTGGGCTGTGGTCATTAGAGTCTTCAACTTCAATCAGGCACACTGCAATACTAGAAAAATCAAGATCTTCCACTGTAACAGTAAGATTAAACTGCCTTTCACGTGCATTCTCAAAATCCAATTTTTTTTTCAGTCTAATAGTAGCACATTGCCATTCTTTGTCATTCTCAATATAAAACTTCTGATCTGGGTCTCCCCCGATGATACTGAATTTTAAGTCAGCATTTTCGCCAACATCTGCATCTGTAGCACACACTTGCAGAACTTCTGAGTCAACGGCAGTGTTTTCAGGAATTGTTGTCTGCCACATCTTTTTTGTGAATTTAGGTACATGGTCATTGACATCTGCAATCCAAATAGTGGCAGTGCCAGTTCCCGTTAGCCCTCCCCCATCTCTTGCTTCAACAGTAAGGAAATAATTTTCAGTCCTTTCTCTGTCTAGCATTCCTCCCGCTACATGGATTGTACCGGTATTGGGATTGATATTAAACATGTCAGTACCAAACTCATTTTTTACATTCTCTGTTATCCTGTAAGTCAGGACAGCATTAAGACCTACATTTGGATCATCACGATCAACTGCACCCATTTCCATGACTAATGTGTCTGCAGGAGAATTTTCAAAGACACTCCCGTTGCAATCATCAGGCATGCACGTGAACATGGGTGCATTATCATTTATATCCCACACATTAATAATTACATCAGCAAATCCTGTAAGTCCTTCTCCACCTTCATCAGTAGCCAATACAACAAATCTCCACAGTGCTCTCTCTTCCCGATCCAGCATCTTGTGTGAGTAAATGCTGCCCGTTTTCTCATCTATTGTGAAAATATCAGCTGCACCATGCCCATGCAATGAGTATCTCAAATCTCCTTCATCCACATTACTATCAGGATCATTTGCCATAACCTACAAAAGTTTTGGCAACAAAGACATAGAAATTACAAAATATGCAATGACTGCATTATATCCTGTATACTGATACAGTCTAGAGGAGTCCACACAAACGTATAGGACATGCTACTAATATGTGTATGCCAGATGAATGGCAAATGAGAGGTGGCTGAGGGACAATTCAGAGTAGGTAAATACGCTTTGCACTACAGTAACAATGTAGATATTTAATACTAAAATAGTATTTTATTTTTTCATATTTATAGAGGTAATTTAACAACACTATTCTGTTAGCTACTTTAAAATGTTAATCATTTGCTTTTTAGGATCACAGATGATCCATCCTGCTTATCTCACTTACTATCATTATAATTATTTTTCCATAAAAGTCGACTTCTCTTCTTCCACTGACAAAAAACCTAAATTTCATTAATATATCTGTGCTTTATTACTAACATAAGTGTACCACAGTAATCCGTGCTCTTTTTACTGAAATATTGTAACATCTGAAACTGCATACACTACCTGAAGTATGAAGACTGGTAGCCCATCCAGTTCTTCAATTATACTTCCGTAGTATTCACTGATAGAGAAAACTGGAGTCTCATCATTTTTATTCATGACATTGATGATGATAACTGCATAATCTTCCCATTTCCCATCAGAGGCCAACAAGTGAATCTCATACGTTTTTGTTTCTTCATAATCCAGTGGTTGGGCAATAAAAATGGCTCCTGTTTCTGGTTCTACATCAAGTACTCCTCCTGTGTTGCCAGCTGTGATCTGATACCGTAATTTAGCATTTGTTCCTGTCAATTACCAACAGCGTCAGAAAACACACATTTCTTGAAGTAGATTAAAACGTGTGATGTTAAGATGAAGTACAAATCATACGCTAACTGATTTTTGGTATTATAGTTTTGTGCTCTTTTAAAACATGCAGCTATGTCAGATTACTTACTAGCATTTTTAATTCTGGTATGTCCAATTGCAATTTGTATTTAATTATAAAATGTGTCTTTGCAATGAAGTATTAATTCTGCTTTTACTTATGATTCCTTGAATTCAGTGAAGGACCAATATGACTGGCCAAGGCCATGGAACCAAAAAGACAAAACCCTTATTTGCTAACACCCAGCATGTAAGAATGAGTTATCATAAAATACTTCATATAGAATCATTATGCACTCATACTCATTTATGCATAAACGTTAACAACAAACAGAATAACTATGTATCAAGGCAGAGGAGACAGTCCTAACAGAACTTCTCAAAATTTCAGATACAGTGCCAATAAATGAATCTCACTGAAATCAAGTCTGATTCATTCTAGTTAACTAGGACATTTTTATTGGTACCCATTCGTAAGAAAATTATATGATCTATAATAAATTTCTATTTGCTGGTTCAGAAATTATTCCCCGTCATCCCACATTAATGCATCGCCTCCCGAAATAAGAGTTATTTGACTTATGCCTCACAGCTCCACTATGAACTAATGTTCATGCCCGATCAGTTCACACTTAAAGAAGTTTTAAAATCAAGAGACAAAAAGACATTTTCCTTTCTAACACCACTAAATATGTCTTGGTGTGCTGAAATTAACTCATTAATATTTTAGACACAGCTATGGGGAATTCCAATACTTTACCTTCATCTTCATCATTAGCACTGACTGTAATGATAGTCGAGCCCACATCCTGGTCTTCATCCACATTTACTTCATAGACGCTTTGAGTGAAGACAGGCTTGTTATCATTCACATCACTGATAAAAATGCGCACGTAGGCCGTGTCTAGAGAGACAAGAAACAAGAGATTAAAATACTCAGCTGTACCACTTCTGTCAGCTACAATTCCTTAAGCTGTCTAGCTGCACATTAAATGAAGACAAATATGCAGACAATATAGAAACAAACCCTTAGGGTTGTGGACAATATATATACCAACATTACTCAAAAGCACTTTGATATCAAACGAATGTCACATCCAATTTGTTTAAACAGATAATACGTGAATAATTGATGACTAATATGGCAATTGGACCATTTTTAGTCATAATTTTTTGTCCTGAAGCCACAAAAGCCAAATTTTAAGTCTTTATTTAAGCACAGCCATTGATTGAGAATGGTATTTTCTATCCTGAACTTTCCTGTTTCATACTTCGGTTACTTTTGACTGAATACAGTACTTTGACTGTATATGTATAATACAGACTGAATACGCAGTGCTTTGACGAACACCTCCACTACCCAAAGATCTGAATCCTATGGATAATAGGTACATCCTTGCTAGCTAGGAAATACTCTCTAAACTCTAACTATAAAGCCCTAGTGTTCTTTTAATTTCAGAACAAAAAACTTGCTTCATCACCATATAAAATATCTCTTCCAACTCTGACACAACTATTGCACAGACAAAGAGTAAAAACAAAATTCCAAAGCCAAAACAACAGACACTCACAAGTACACTTGAAAAGAAGGAAATTAACATTTAATTTTGCATTTCAGAGCTTCTGTTCTTAGAGACCAATCCAGGTAAAATCATGCTTGTCACAGACATCTGTCTCTTACCAGAGTTTGGCTTCCCATGTTTTCCAGGTCGAGCTGATTCAGACCCATCTACTGATTTGACTTCTAGAAGGTAAGACCCCTTCCTCTCTCTATCAAACACTGAGGCAGTGTATATTGAACCTGTCTGTGAATCCAAGCCAAAATATGTGTAGTCTCTGCCACTGTCATGTAGCAGGGAGTAAGTTATCTAAAGGATTAAAAAGAAGTTGTTAATCTATACTTGCCTTTTGTTGGATAGTTCACATCTAAATAAGTATTTAAAGAGAGGAAGAACAGTCTAACAGTCTTGTGTTTGAGAATTTGATCAGAGCAAAGAAAGCTGAGTAAATTACAAGCTTGAGCAATATAGTTTAAAGTCAATTAACTTCCTTGCATGTTGACTGCCAATCTGTAAATGGGAATAAATTTCTCTTGTCTAATCAGTTCCCAAGTTCTCTAGTTCACATTTGCACAGTGCTTGTGCAACAGTATTCAAACTCAGCTAAAGACCCTAATATAATAGGTACTAATATAATAGCCACAGGTGAGCTGAATTTGAACTTGCTCAGTATCATGGACCATGTTCTAGTCTCCATTATATACATATATACATATATGTTTTCATGCACTTGACTTCAGCTTGAACTCTTGTTCTAAAGATATACCTACTTTGGATTTTTAAAATCAGTAACAAATACATCCACTTTTGGTGTTAACAACATATTTTGTAAGGATTCAGTTTTCAGTACCCTCAATGATTTACAACTCACAGAAACTTTTAAGACATTTTTTTCTTCCATTAATTTTCCAATCACATTTTAGGTTGATGGAGACCTTTCCATACCAGAGCATTCTATAGCAAGTTTTTCACCTGAACTACAGGCTGCATAAATACTTCTTCTTTGTTTTCTGTCTCACATCTAACAGTTTTAGTTGCATTTTTCATGTGGCAAGACAGAGAAACATGTAATTAACTACTTAATCTCATGTTTCCCTATTAGTCATTCCTTTTCAAGGTTGAAGACTTCTAGTCTATTTAGCCATTGTTCATACAGAAGTCATTCCATACTTTTCATCACAGAAGATGTAGGTCCCCACTTGCTTACCTCACCATTCTGACCAAGGTCAAGGTCGGTGGCAGACACCTGAATGACAAATGTTCCAACACCAGCTCCCTCTGTTACCGAGGCTTCATAAATAGATGAAGTGAAGAATGGGACATTGTCATTGACATCTAAAATGGCAAAAAGAGTGCATAAAGAGAAAACTATAAAAACTGAAAGAAAAAAGAAAGTACTATGATTATACTACAACATTACTTAACAGCTTACACACCTGTTACATTAATATAGACCGTAGCGAATGCTGCCAGAGGAACTGCAGCAACGTTCTGTGCTCGAACCCTCAGTACAAAGTTCTTTGTTGTTTCATAATCTAGCGGCTCAGCTACCAGGATTGAAGCAGAACCATCATGTCTGTTTGGAGTCAAGTAGAAACGAACTGGCATGTTGGTCTCTGGAACAAGTCCCTCTTCTAGGTTGTAAGTCACACGGGGATCACCAAGGGGAGAAGTTGCTTTGATTGTCTGCACGGTTCAAAAAGTTTGCGTAATCGACACTTTCATAAGTACAGCAACATTTCTAAAAGCTTTTGTGTATTGATTCTCCCAGATCTTCAGCTCTCAGCTGAAAAAAACTAGAACAAGTATTTCCTGATACCAAAACTTCACCCTGCCTGATACATTTCCAGGCTGCAAATAGGTGCAGCCAAAGGTTACCAGTCATTACATACTTGGTTACTCGCACTTTTACCCTAAAAATATGCATTTTGGAGTTACTTCATAAAGCTATTCCGCTTACTCATTCCAAGCAATCAAACTGAACAACTCTAAGTACTTTAAGCCAAATAATCACCTCAGGTAACACAGAAGCATTCAAAAAATTGGAACACCTATAGTGTTGTCCAAATGGGAAGGAAATTAAGTAGTGGTTGCATACATATAAATTAGCACAAAAATGATGGTTACCATTAGCATTTCTGAAAGAAAACTGACAGCAGATCATTGATCCTTACAGTACACAAAATTCTTATAAAAGCTCACTATATTTAAGCAAATAAGCAACATTCAGTTACTCTATAGACTTTGGACAGACAAACAACTCTGTCCCAACCTTACCAAAATCAATGCATCTCGTGTAGTATTCTCTGGAATAACAACTTCATAGCTGTCTCTTTCCCACTGTGGAGGTTGGTTCTTTGCACTGGTAATGGTTACCGCAAGCTCAACTGTACTGCTCCTATTACCTCCATCTGTAGCAACGATCTCTCGAATTATAGATGACCTCTGAACAGTAAAAAAGGTTTTATTACAGAGGGTTTTGATCAGAGATCTGAATAAATGAACACATAAAAATAAATAAAGATAAAAAATAAATGAATACATGAAATCAAAGGCATATTTAGAAAAACCTGCACTGAAGAAAAACATACACAACTGCAGAATACTGAACTCAGAATATGAAGTAGGTGCAAAGTTGTTGAAAATTCTGCTATTTGCTTCAGTTAAGGTTATTGGAAACTGTTGCTGTTTGTCTCAATAAACCTTAGCAAATTTCACACAAAGTTTATAACAAAACAACAAAAACCCCACCTTGTGGAGCCCTTGAGTTCTTAAGCTTACCTATCAATAGCTTTTGTTATTAGGTCTGTAGCATTCTTACATTCAATAAAGAATACATATTAAAAGGACACACCTTCACCAATGTTTTGTGTGTCAGAAGTTAAAATTCAACATGCCATGGTTTAACCCCAGCTGGTAAGCAAGCAGAGAATCAGAATAGTAAAAGAGAAAGCTTGTGGGTTGAGATAAAGACAGTTTAATAACTGGAAGAAAATGAAATAATAATAATATAAATTGTAATTAAAAGGAAAACAACAAGAAGAGAGAAATAAAACCCAAGAAAGACAAGTGACGCAAATGAAAAACAATTGCTCACCACCAACCAACCAATGCCCAGCCTGTCACCAAGCAGCGGCCCCTGGACAGCTTTCCCCCTGGTTTATAAACCGAGCATGATGTCATACAGTATAGAATATCCCTTTGGCCAGTTTGAGTCAGCTGTCCAGGCTCCATCCTCTCCCAGCTTCTTGTGCACGCCACCTCCCCAAGCCTCCCCACTGGCAGGGCAGTATGAGAAGCCGAAAAGTCCTTGACTGAGTGTAAACACTGCTTAGGAACAACTAAAACATCAGTGCGTTGTTGACATCATTCTCATCCTAAATCCAAAATACAGCTTTATACCAGCTACAAGGAAGAAAATTAACTCCATCCCAGCCAAAAGCAGCACACAATATTAAAAATATCTGCTATGTATTTAAAAATTGACATCTACAACAATATTTTCATTTTAACACAAATTACTTTACAACTCTGAAAATATCAAACTGCTTATGTAGGTATCTACTAACGGCTGCAACTGGTAAATTTTAGGTAAATAAATGCAACAATTTTGTTCATTATGCCTTCACCTTCCTGAGGGATAGCTATGCTTAGTCCACAACAACTAACATAAATCAAGTTGAGAATCTGTATCAGAAGCAAAATTTCACACTCTTTCACATTCAGGTTTGTGTCTTAACTCTTTGCCTGTTAACGTAGTGAAGTCCTACACCTGGTTTCTTGCTCCCCTGCTTACGGTCTCAGCCCTCCAGACCTCGATATTAGTATGCCAAAGCTAATGAAATGGGAAGAACAAGTTCTCAGAGGCAGTGCTGTCAGCTTTCCAGCTGAAAGCAGAGCTTGCTTATATGCAAATCATAGTCAATGAGCTCATCAGCTAAAAGCCTTAGACTCATGTTTAAATTAATCATGACATATTGGTCCTTTAATGTGAAAGGGTAACATGGAGGTAAGGACAAACTCATGACCTCAGTCCCTCCTATGATATATTGAGATAGCCAGCTTAAAAAGGAAAGCAAGTGCCATACCTGAGATATGGGTTGGTTCACAAAAACCCAGCCTGTAGTAGGATTAATTTGTAAATAATTTGGTTCTTCATTTGATATTGAATATGTAATGGCAGCATTTGAGCTGTAGTCATCATCACGGGCTACAACACGAAGAAAGCTTGTCCCAACTCTTGTGTCCTCTCTTAGGAAATCTAATGTAAGGAAAGGATATTTCAAACTCATCATTAATTCACTAAAGTACCATGAACATTTTACTAAGAAATACTAAAGCAATAATGTATGGAAGCTATAACTTTATCTTCCTTGGAACAATGGCCATAAAAATCAAAACGAGTATTTTAAAGAGCTGCTATCACTCCAGAGCTATGGAACATCTTTGAACTTCATATTACCACATTCCTACTTCTCATAAGATACTCCTTTTTTGTGTGTCTTGTATTTTACTAAGGGATTAATTGCTCTGTATGAAATATACATAAATGGAATTTTAATTTCTTGCATAACACCAGAAGAAAAGGACCACTTTGTCAGAAACTACTTTCTAGGATTTGTACAGTACAACTAACAGAGAATTAACAGTCTTCAATTTTTTATTAATATTATACATGCCTCTGGGTGTTTATCCATAAACAGGAAGGGGTTTTTGAAGAACCAAGATGGAAAGGCAAAACAACAAACAGTGAAGAATGATGAAATTCAAATGAGAAAAGCATGTAATCAAAAGTTATGGCAAAAATATATTAATCAGAAAACAAAGTATACAGTTAGTGCTCAGCGCTGCACACTCACATGCTTATTACAATTTTCTCATCTCTGTGTAGTACCACAGACACTTGGGACACTCAGGTACGGAAAGATACTGACATGGCTATTGTTTCAAGGAATTTTCCCATAACGATGCTCAGTAAGGCCTATGAGTCAAGACTGTACTCGTTACACTGCACATTACACAGATTAACAGTTCTGCAATTAATTAAGGTAAATGCATCTCTGGCTGCAATCACCTAGCTGGTCACTAGATCTACTACCAGGAAAGACACAACCCAAGAATCTTAGACATCAGGTAAGCTCACACTCAGGGCACCGAAACTCTATCCAATGACTCTCAATTACATTCATAGCGGGTGTTTTCAAATCTGGGATCATTGTCATTTTGGTCCAGGATGATAACATTTATCTGACATATTCCAATGAGTGGTTCCGCTGCCTGATCTGTTGCTGTCACAGTGATAGGATATTCCCTCTGTTTTTCTCGATCAAATACCTGAACAGTTGTCAGAACTCCTGAAAACAAATTAAATACCATAGTGTTAAAATACTATGCGTTTGACGATATTCTACATTTAGATGTTTATTTGTCTGTCAATACACTGAGATACAATGCAATAGGTTAAATACACCTATAATGTGAACTTCAGGTTCAAGGATCCAATCACCAGATTTAACAAATTTCAACAGCTTAAATTGCACTGCTCAGGCAGATAGAAACTTCATATACGCTTACATCTACACACAGTTGGACTTAAAACTTCGAAAACAGAGATAAGTACCAAACTAAGAGAACGAGCTTATAAAAAAGTATTTGTTTTGAGGAACACTAATAGGGTAAAGGCATATTTCATGTCTTTTATCCTCCAAAAGTTCAGCCTGAATTTAGTTTTGGCCTTCCAAGACTTAGTCTCTTTGCTGTTTGTAAGACTACTGTCATTTGGATAAATCATTTATATGCCATTAGCAATGTTGCAAGATAATGCACACCTAAAATACAGTGTTTTATTTTTTTTTAAATCTAGTTACAAAACCACAAAAGTTACTTCACATAGCAGTACTTCCACATTTCAGGGAAAATATCGGTTCCAGTTCAGTATTGGACACATATGAAACTAAAGGGAGAATATCTGTTCATGCAGTCAATATAGTTTATCTTTTGTCTGCTATCAAAAAACTCAATGAAAAAGCACAAAGTCTGATTTTTTTCAAGCTTTTTTCCCATCAGTGTAACAAAGTGGTTTCTATACACCAGTATCATATTTGCTTTACCTGTGTCAGGATGAATACTAAATGCTGGTAGGACACCACCTCTGTCCATAAAGCCATATTTCACTATACCATTGGCTCCTTCATCAGCATCAGTGGCTTCAACCTGCAGTACAACTGTCCCAGCAGGCTGGTTTTCCAACACAGAAGCATGCTCCCGATAATACTGACACTAAAAGAGGGAAGGAAAAAAAAAGCAAAAATCAAGGACTTACTATACCATTTTATTAAAGATATACTAGAGGTAAAAAAAAAAAAAAAAAGAAGAAAAAAATATTTAGCTACCCTTCTATTCACATGCACTGCTGTTAACGTTTTATCTGTGCCATGATTAATTTACAGACTTCACTTGCTATTTTGCGGTTATACGAACACCACATAGCATGAGGCCACTGAGCATCTCTAACTAGTGAAAGTATTTGGAAAAAAATTACAGTTGCACATACTTCCAAATGCAAATATTTTTCTATATTAGCAAAAGTCTTATAAAAAAGAGGGCATACGCTTGCCCAAACCACAGAATGGTTTTGGTCAAAAAGGGATTTCTACACAGAGTAACTTTGTCAAGGACAGATTTCTGAGAATTTCCAAGACTGACGTTAATAGTCACTGATTTTTCAAAATATGCAATGTTGCCCACCAACATTTTTGCCATCAGCATCAAACTTGAAATTTTGACACGCTAGTTCTTTAATATGAATTAACATTCTAAAAGCACATTCAAGCATTTATTTTTAGAGTAGAGTTAAGTAGAGTAAGTAGAGTTAAGCTAAACCACTTTCATTATTCTCTCTTTCTCAAGCATTTATTTTTAGAGTACTTTACAAGTTAAGCTAAACCACTTTCATTATTCTCTCTTTCATCAATTCCAGACACACAATAATCAAAAGAAGCCTATGCAATTTAGAGAGGTATTCTGGAATATTCTGGAACAAGTCCACTGCATAGACAGCTATACCTATCAATTCCTCATCACATCTGTCACACTGAACCTCCAAAAGTTATTCACTCAACTTTATCTTCTAAAATGCCAGAAATGAGATGTGAATCAGGGAAGAGACAGTGGTCACAGGAGCTGTTCACCCACAAGAGGAGAACAAACCCTCTAAGTATTAGGAGAGGAATGGCAAAGATGGAGAAGACAGAGGCATCAGGACTAGGAGAGACAAAAGCAGACCACTTCTTGAATAGCTCATCTGCTGCATCACTTGCAGTGACAACACAGTCTTAAACATTTACCACACAGTCTAATATAAATGACCGAGCCTCATATATTTACCTTCTGAAAGACAGGTTTGTTATTGTTGACATCATCAATTTTCACAACAACCTGGGCAGTACTTGTAAGAGAATGGGGCCCTCCAGAGGCATTATCATCAGTAGCTGTGACATTAAGTACATATTCTGTTCCCTGCAGCTTAGGAAACGGACTTGAACGAAGTCTAACTAGCCCTGTAAAAACAACGATAGGTTGTGGGGTTTTATTTTTTTTTTGGTACATTAACCAGTTACTGTTATTCTTCTCACTAATAAGCATGACAACACGTCATTCTGGTTTACCCATTCACCAATAAACCATGAGGCTGCTAGAGTTTAATTGAACTATGGTATTTTTCCTGCAGTCTGATACTAAGACAGCACAACAGGTATGTCTACAGAACTGAATGAGATAACAGCTACAACTCAGCTGACCTACACATATTAGCTTTAGCCTATCTGCTGCAGAAAAAAACAAAACAAAACAAAGAATCCAGAGAAACATTGTGGCAGACTTCTGTTTAACCTGCACCAGCCCTACCAGCAGGCCCAGCTATGTTCTATATCATTATTGCAATGAAGCGTGTGTCACCATGTCTACAGCTGTAGCTACCCATGCTAGTTCAACTGAAACTAGCACAAGTTTACCTTCCTGCAGCACAATCATAGCAGCATTTAGCTATATAGACATATCCTCAGAAACCTGTGTTTTGCTACTCTCCCAAGTCACCCAAATGATACACCCTGCTGGATGGGACATAAAGGCACTGTCAGAGAAAGATGTATGAAAGATTTGCTACAAAAGCAAAAGAGACTACATCTGAGACCACGCAGTAAGAAGATGTCATTCTTTTGCTCCATCATTCGTCAATCACCTCTATTATTCATCAGGCATAATAGCAATTGTCATTACAACAGAGTACTGTCACAGCATCAATGTCACTCAATTTGCTTGCAAATGTATTGCTTTAGCTGCAGCACTTATTTTTGACACATTTCCATTTTACCTTCGCATTTCTGTGACAAGGGGGTACAGACTATTCTCCTGACATCGTTTCTGAAACTGCCGCAAGCCACTGTATAAACCTTTACTGGTTTCTTAAGCAACAAAAGCCCAAAAGTGTTCTGAAAAAAGTGTTAATGTTTCTAAAATTAAATTTCAAAGGCTATAAAAATTAATTGGTAATAAAGTATAAAAGTACATATACATCATTATCTGTATTAAAACTATGGAGCTAATCCTAAGAGATCCTATCAATCAAACATTAAGATTCTTTCAGCACTTACAATAAAGATTTATCAGAAGCATCAGATGTACTCTTCCTGTGGCAAATAGACACTTTTAAAACCATTGTTCCTCTTTAGGTGCCAAAGTATCTTTAGAAGATTAACTCTTGGAACCTACAACTCTATTTTTAAGTCAGAAAGGATAAAAGGAGCTCTCAAATTCAGGATCATGCTTCAACACTTGCAAGTTACCTGCAGACCACGTTTTTGGGAACATTTCAGAATCTTACATTAATATTGCAAAAACATTATTTGCATTGAAATTAAAATTTCATGCTAAGTGAACTCTGTGAAATAAAGAGAAGGAATAACTTATTATGGCTTACTCCTTCCTACATACTCAACGCTTGTGCTTTGAGAAATGTAAGCTCAGATTTTGATTGCAGTTCAAAACAGGTTAAATATAAAGTAGTTAAACTGAAGTTAATTAAGTTACTTCAATCCATCAAGGGGATTTCAATTCTGCCTGTTTCTGTCTCAATCCTCCTCTTTTGTTTTTTCAAGCAACAAGCAGCAAATCTATCCTATTAATTTAAAGGGATATGCCAGCCTACTCAGATGATGTATGTTTGTGCATTTTGTAAAAAAATTTTTTTTTTAAATGAGGACACCAATGTTATGGGAATTTTTCCTTTGGGGTTTTAAAAATATGTGATTGCTGAAAAGAATTTTAAAATCTGTAAAACCTGGTATTTCAAAACAAATTACTTAAACTGCAAAGTATTCCCCACACTTTTTTTTTTCTCATGCATATAGTATTCTTGGCTAAATAGCATTGCTCATGGGAATGATTTTATCCTTAAATGAAAATATACTTACTGAGTTCATGTTTTATATACTTTTGCCTTAATTGAAATAAAAGTGGTAGTCCCATTCCACCTACAAATGCATCATTTGGCGCCAGTACAACACAAGTAAACTCAGTTAAGAAGTGTTTGCTCACACATGCGTAATCAGGACATAGACACAAGCATGGGGAAAAAGAGCCTCAACTAAAAATTAAAATGACCACTTTAAACCAGTTAAAACTGAGTTATTGAAAAAGTTGCACAAAGAAAACTTGCCAGTCAGAACTGCCATCCTATAGTTTTTTTCTCCTTGCATGGCTATTTGATTACCAATAGTATCTTTGGCTAACCGCAGCAGGTAGATGTCAAGCTTTGAGTGCACCAACAGACCTTGCAAACTCTTCCTCCTGCTCTCTGGGTTTGGCTGCCCATGTTCAAGGCCAGCTCTGACACCATACAGCCGGCTAACCTTGGATCAGTTAGTTGTCAGAAGCCCTTGAATGTGGCCTCCACCCCATGTCTCAGGAGCTGTGCTTATGCCCAGGTCCTTCCTCATGCTCCCCTGGGGGTGCATTGTACCTGGCTGTGCATCTTGCTGACCTCGACGATGCCTTGCTGCCTTGGCTTCCCAGCTTGACCCGACACACATCTGATCACTGCAAACCTGCCTGGTGATCACTGGACTGTCGGATAAACCAGGTTTCTATCACGGGACCTGCTCTGCTCTTGCTCAGGATGGCGCTTGTGGCTGTGAGGTACCTCCCCTGCCTGCCTTGCTGTCACCCTTGACTCCTATTTCAACTTTCCCTGCAGAGCAGCCCTTTCTTGCTACAATTTTGAAACTAGTCTCCTAGACTAAATGTTACTCAAATCCTTGTTTGACATTTTGGAATGTCACTGTTATCAACAATAACATTCTCTGTTAAGTTACTGTCTGTTTTACCTGTTATCTATAATAATGCTCTCCATTAAGTTACTGACTGAAAGCAAACAATGAAACAAGTAAGATAGGTCAATTATATAAAGCTTTTAGGAAAATCATACTATTTTTTTGACATTATAAGAGAGTCTAGAACAATTGCACCTTTTTCCTGCACTTCTTTTAATTAGGTTCAAAAATAGCATATGCTATTCAGTTTTTATAATTGCTACCTAAGAAAGACCAAATTCAAGATTCTACCATATCAGAATCAACATTATGAGTGCAGCAGCAAAGAGCTAATGTAATATTACCTTTCTTAGGGTCAATAACAAAGTTTCCTTTTTGATTCCCAGACAGAATATCGTATGTCACACCATCTCCATCAGGGTCAACAGCATTAACTGTAGCAATCAGTGTGTTCGGGCCTGCATCTTCAGAAACAAAACTCCTGTAGCTGTTAAAAGAAATTATGACAATACATTTATGAATTTAGACAGGAAATAATATATACAGAACTATGCTTTACAATGCCTACTGACTACCTGTACAAAGGGTACTGCAGAGATTTGTAATTTATTAATACAATTACACTTATGTTTCTTTCTTAACCAGTGAAATAAAAGTATTGACAATCTATCCAAACATTCAGGTTTTTCTGTTGTTACCTCCCATAGATTTCCACTGCAAACTTTCAGCGGTATTGAAGCTCTGAAGGAGACTTGGGCTAAATGCAGAATTCAATATTTTTTTTTTAAATTAAAAAATATGAGTTGCATGATTCACAGAATCAAAGCAAACATTTGCTAAGTTAAATCATTGCTTGTTACAGCACACTTTCTGACACAAGCTCTCAAAATGCTTTCAGTGTAGTCTTTGCACCAGCATGAATAAGAAGAGGATCAGATCTGGAGGATATGCACGTAATGCCAGTTTTACAAAAATCTCTTCTCAAGTCCAGACACATCACTGACATTGTAAGCTCTTAAGAGGCATTATCAGCCTAAGCTTAACGCTCTCCGGAGTAGAAAAGCCCCCTGCTTTAGCAAAGTCCCAAATATTTATTATTTTATCTGACTGGATTGAGCATAGGCCAGACTAAGCATAGTACAGACCTGTCCACAGTAGATATCCCAAAGCTCAGCCATAAGAATGAACTGCAGCTGGCTGTAGATAAAATACGTATGTACCACTGTGTTCAGAGTGCTTATGGACCCACTCTCCATACACTGAGAATAGAAAAAAATTCAAAGAAAAAGAAAATGGATGCACAGGAAACCTGTCCCTTAGCTTTTATTGTCTAGGTATGTGTGTTTTCATCAAAGCCTTTGTAGAAACAGCTTTTTGCCTTCCTCCAATTTAATATGCAATGAAGTAAGAGAAGTAAATTGTTCTGGTTTAGCTCAGTCACAACCCTCAGGACACTGTCTTAACTCTGCATCTGGAAAGCAAATGAACAGTAATTCTGGTAATTTTGAACATGAAATATGGGGACAGAAGAGCTCAAGTCATTGGAAGAGGTCTCTCAAAAAGGAGAAAGTAAAAACTGATAAAATGAAACAGAGTGATAGCCTTAAGCATTTCATAATTGAGATAAAGAATAACTGTGATGAAAGAAACCTTGTGACAAGGAATTGTAAGTTTATACTGGACTGTAAATCTATTTAAACAAAAAGCTAGAAGGACAATAACATCATCTTGATTTGTATTAGTCTGCCACAGAGCATAACATCAATTGCAAACTAGTCTCTTGACAGGACCTAATTTATGGGTGTTCACGATGAATCTACTTCACAGAAAACTTCAAATAAGTTCTGCCTAAAATTCACCTTTGGGTTCAAGATTTTTTTTATAATGGGAAAGATAAAGCAAAAACAAAGCCTGGTTAACCTAGTTAAACAAAAAATTGAGATAATTTGAATTCCAGGACATGAATTCAATTCCAGTGCCAATCTACACATATATACAATTGCAGTTTCCCTGCCATTGCACAGGGAACATAAAAGCTTCTTGTGAATTTTTGATAATTTAACATAATGTTCATTTTAACCATATTCTTCAGTAAACTAAATATAAGAGCTGGCAGGGTTTTTTTTTTTAAACTATGTTTTCTGCTTCCAATTTATTAGAGAAGCTTACACCATCTTTAATACTACCACTCATTTCTGATTAAAAAATTAGGAACAGATATAAGACTAAGAGATAAATACAGCTAAATATTCAATGACCCTGAACAGTAAAACAAACTAATATATTAAAAATAGACATAATCTGAAGACTGAGAAACTTCATCTGGTTCAGTATTTGAAAATGCATAGAGATCCAATAAGAATTTAGAAAAGATCAACTTTCCAAAGCCATATCTCCTAAGTAACGTTTAGGAAAGAAAGGAAGGCACAAGATTTTGAAGCCAGAGGTTACCTTTACATAAAATAAGGACTGTCAGAAATCTTCGATGTTTTGTTCAGATAAACCACAAACTTAGCATCACTGAAATCTCTGCCTGTATTTTGTTCTGAGCAACTTCTAATTTTAAGAGTAGAAGGCTGATGCAGCAGCTGACTGGGAATTCCATTACTAAGCCTCTAACACAAATGCAAGTTTACAGTACTTCTTACATTGCTTCAGGCACTCCTGAGCTCCAACTATTGAAGAAAAATGCTTACTGATGCTTTAGAAGAAAAACAAAAAGTACAGTTTGAAGGGCATGGTACTAAGTGAAATTAAGTGAGCTCTGCTTATTGACATTTATCTTGTGGTTTTTATAATTCAGCAGTCATTTAGGATTTTGTCATCTAAGCATTTTTCTATAACAATTATAAACCAAGGACACAGAGTGTTGACTCTGTCTAAGCTTAAATTGCTTAATTAAAAGGCAAAATTCCACCATGCACTCTGGATGAGGGCTGAGGACAACACTGAGTTACCTGCTTTTTCTGCTTGATTTCCTTTGGTGGTGGAGAGGTCCTCTTGAAATGTATAATCTGAAATTACTGCACCACCTCTTTCAGTACATAATGGAAAAAATGTGAGTGCAAGATCTGTTGGAAGAGACTGTCTACATATCACCTCTAACTAGCTAGATACACAAATCCTACTATACACTGAAGGCATGCCTAAGCCTTAAAATTAAGAACCAAACTTAAAACTGCCTTTTTTTTTTCTTTTTCTTTCTTTCCGCTGGTAGTAAGAGTGTCTCGGAGTCAAAAATAATCCTGCATTTGTCAGTCCAACTCTCAGATTTGATTGAACTGAAACCAATTACCACCCTGTAATGATCAGCTTTCCAACTGAAATACAAAAAGCAACAGTAAAAGACACAGATAACAGAGCTTTAAGAATATGTTATTTACATTGTCTGGGAAAACTGAGGTGCCTCATCATTCACATTTGAAACATGGATCCTAACAGTTGCTGTTCCTGTCTTCGGCTCTTCCCCCTTATCTACAGCCATAATTATGAACTCATAAAGATGGTTAGGTCGCTCATAGTCCAACCGTGTTGCTGGAAAAATAGTACCACGAGAAGTAATACTAAAGTCTTGACTCAAAGTGTAATATAGTAATTCAGCATTCTCTTTTGAATCGCAGTCAGTGGCCGTCACTATTAAAAGAGAAGAGAAAGACATTGTGTAGATCAAAGTTTGTGAATTGGAATGTCAAGTACTTTAACAAGAGAATTAGTGTGTAGTATAAAGCTGTAAGAGCATTTGCCTTGGCATGTGTGCTTGAAATAATTTATAAAACAGTGCTATCCCCTCTGCTTTTTTTATTGCACTAACCCTTACTTGAAAATAAGTTGATTAAAAAAAAATGCTAAGTCCCTGGTTGAATTCAGCCACTAGATCTTGCCTCTGTCTGTTGCATTTAAAGAACCCTGTACTACCAAGAACATATTCCCACACAGAGAACATATTCCCAAGAACATATTCCCACCTGACTTATACTGCTGACTTTAGAGCACTCGGACAGGTCACACCCTGCGTGATTAAAGATGAAATATTTACATATATTATTCAACTGATGCAAGTTATGTGTTTGTCAGATCCTACCCATAACCTGCAAAAACCTATGCTAAAAGCATACTTACCAGAATAGTAACTGACAGAGTACCATTAGTACAGGATAAATCACTAAAGTAGAACAGTAGGAGGTTATAAAATACTATTTACCAGGGAACAGCAATTTTCCTGCAGTTTAATTTCCTTTTTCCCCCTCAAGATTTATAGGAAGTTTTGTGAGGGTTAAAGACTAATATAAGGCCCTTCTACAACTGCTTGGCTGACGTAAATTTGTATTATTGCCAGGACCTGCTCATTTCTTTATAAACATTTTCAATATAAGATTTTTGCATTTTACAAAATCAAAATGTACATAATCTACAGACCATCATAATTTAAAGCTTAAGTTACTGGTTACATTGGGAAGAAGCAAAGTCTCTTCTGAAGCATCCAAACAAAACCTCACATGAAACACTCAAACCATGCAAGAGGCTTTTCACGCAAAAGAGCAGTAGTCTCTACAGCAGGCCCACATAGGACTCAAAGACAGGCAGAGAAGGCAGAGAAGATATGTCTAGAATTTTTCATCCAACATCACTCACTGTCTTCAAAACAAGAAATATCGCAAGATTGCTACTGTAAGTCTGCTGCTATAATACCAACCACAACTGAAGTCCTGTTACTTCAAAATCCTACAAAGATTTGTTTCCTTTGTCTCCCATCCTCCAAAATTGTTTGGGTTGTGGCAGCAGTAAATAATTATGGCCCAATTCTGCAAGGTGCCATTTGCCTTCAGAGAGTTGCAACTACCCATGCTGGTGCAGGTAATTTTGCCTTCTGAATTCTAGTTAGTTGGAGGAAAAAAAAATACTCGTATTGAATGTAACAAATCATTTTAGAAGTACTAACCTTGTAGAAGTGCAGTTGTCATAGTAACTGTTTCAGGAACACCAACTTTGCTGTAAATCGACTGATGAAATTCAGGGGCACAATCATTCACATCTGTGATTACAACCAAAACCTTAATGGAGAAGAGAGAAATGTTAAGCAACAAAATTAATCAAGGCAAGGACTTCATCGCTCTAGAAATATCGGATGGAAAAATTTCCCAAAAACATGCCTGAGGTCTTCAGAAGCTATAGCACATAGGATAAGCCATTTTTCTTAGATTGCTCTTTTCCTGCCGAGAACCATTGAAATATCAGATTCCAAAATACTAGAAATTGCTAAGTCACAATTCCTTGCAGCAACAAATTCCACTTACCCTTTACCTCCGTTTATTATTCCCTATTACTAATTTAAAGAAAAACAGACTGTCTGCTTTCCAAGCACCTTTTTTCCATTATCTTATCTTCCAACACTTCTGTGATTTTTAACACTGAAAATTCTACTGCCAAGCATATTACATTGCCACAGCACAGATCTCCAAGACCAAGTTCTGAATTCAATTACAGCAGCATAAATCGGATGTAAATGGAACTGATTATGGTAAAACAGCTAAGAAATACAATTCTGCTTCTAACACCTTTAAAAATGTTTTCTTTCTCCTATGTCAAATAGGAGTCCACAGCTGCATTGTTTACAATCCAAACACAAATGAGTGCATTAAATTAGCCTTTGTGGTGGTTCATACTGCTACACTTCAGACTGTCTGAAGTTGGCTGAGGTATTCTGCATCACAGTGCAACAGGTAGACACATACACCATCCACCCTTACATAGATTCGTATAAACTGGGAGTTGCCCTCTCTTAACTATTGAGGTTGCACCAGTGTAGAGCAGGTACAAGTTAAACTACATTTAGGCTCTTTCAAGTCATATTCTACCACTCTTCACCTTGTAGTACATAAAAGTGCCAACAGAAAGTATCAGTCTCTGCTGTGCTACAGCCACTGTTTGTTACACTGACATACTGTTTCACTGTCCTTCTGTGTCCTCACGCTTGTTCCTAATAATTCTGCCTCCTCTTCCCTTTATAGCGTACATCTTATTTCCTGCAGCAGGAACAAACTGTTACACTGCATGCATTTCCTAGCTCAGTGAATCCTTGAATTCAAACAATTGTTTTAGAAATGTTTGGAAATATTTTTGCTAAAAGTCAGCTTTCTAAAACACCATGAACCATCATCTTTCAATATCTGTGAGTTTTTATTACTTTCTCTCTTTACAAGGTCATGGCGTGTTCTTGATACAAAAATCATTTTCTGTTCTTTGTTTTAAATTGGAAAATCTCAAATATACACCAAACTTTATGAAGGTTTAGAGTAAGACAAAAACTCCTCTCTGGCTTGGCTGCACCCATTTCTGTATCTTCCCAGATGAGGCCTAGGACCAATCATGGGATGGCATTTCCTCAGAAATAGCCTATTCAGCGCCTGCAAGAGTGAACCCTAAGAGTACCTAAACCAGCCCTCAACATCTGATGGGGAAAATCTTTTTAGTAGGGCCAGCTGTGACAAGACAAGGGGTAATGGTTTTAAACTAAAACAGCGTAGGTTTAGACTAGATATAAGGAAGAAATTCTTTACAATGAGGGTGGTGAAACACTGGAACAGGTTGCCCAGAGAGGTAGTGGAGGCCCCATCCCTGGAAACATTCAAGGTTGGACGGGGCTCTGAGCAACCTGATCTAGTTATCGGTGTCCCTGCTCCTGCAGGGGGGTTGGACTAGATGACCTCTAGGGGTCCCTTCCAACCCAAAACATTCTATGATTCTATGATCTACCCATAGACAGAACAACTTTTAAAATGAGCTGGGGAAATGGGAGCCCCTTAGTGAATCTGTACAGAAATCTGGAAAGGCTGAAGGAAAATAGAAATATGTACAGACTGCCAGAAGTGAACACCTACCTCAGCTGCACTACTGAACTGTCCCTCATTTTCCTCTGCTCTGACCAAAAGAAGATACTGGTGCTGGTCATTCTCATAATCCACACTCCGAGTTAAACTGATATCTCCTGTTGCCCGATCAATACTGAATAGACCACTAGGATTAGTTAGTAAACTGTAGCTCAGAGATTTCTTTTGATATGATACAGCAATGACTGTAAGAAAGCTGCATTAAAAAAAAAAATAAAATACTCTTAAGCACATAATACAACATACTGAAAAATATGACAAAAATTATACATATCAGAAACAATGGTGCAATCCTGTAGGTCTGATCAGAGCAATACTCACTGAAATCAGCGATAGCTGTATGTAAACACCAAATTCAAACATTTTGTTATACAGTAGTTCTATCATCTTGAGGTTAAACAGATAAAAATAGGATTCTTGGAAGCAGAACACAGTAAGGATTAAAACCACAAGAATAGAGGATTTAATTTTTGCTGCAACTGAATTTGCCTACTCTAACTTCCTTCTATGGTAGTGATGGTTTTCAGGCAGGAAACAAAAAGATAAAGCAAGATGCAAAGATTCATTTTAATAACAGCACAGTAAGTTTCCTGCTGCAGTCATATCATCCTAAAGTTTCAACAGACAACTGCAAAAGGATAAAAGCCAGCCATTAACAGCGTGCATGTTACAGGTTATACAGAGCATGTTTTTAGTTCATTTGGCACTATCTTTCTTCCACTGAAGTCCAATGTGTTTAAAGTCTTCAAACGGGAAAAACACTTGCAGTAGGAAGCAAAGAAGAAATTTTAAAAATATATATTTTTTTAAAGGGTTTAAAACAGAATACTAATTCCTCAATTGTTTGTTGCCTTATCATGCAGGCTGCTTAGGAAAAAGAATTCCATCTCCCAGGAGAACCCACAAACATGTATCATCCAGCGACAACTACAAGCAAAAAGACAAAACTCAGTTTGTCTGAACACCTTTTTCCCCGCTGTACTTCCATGCTGCTGTCTTCTCACTTCCCTCAGGTGGACTACTGAAACAATGGAAAAGGTTGCTGTAGGTCATTACCTCACTTTAGTCTTTTTCTGTATTTTCCTATGATGTGGTCTCACATGCAGTTTCAGCCAGCGCATGACAATGTTCCTGCCAACAGGAATTATTTTGCCCTCTTTCTAACTCCCTACTCTGGCTGCATGTTCACACACCTCTCCTCTCCTGTCAGTACTAAAAATCACAAGGCTACGCTGCTGAGCACGTTTAACAACCGAACTGAAAACTTTTTTTTTTGGCATTGTCTTTCATCAGATCAGCCCTGCCCATGCAGCTAGCATATTAGCACTAGTGGCAGACCAAAGGAAGAGAAAGGTTTGGTAACGCTCCTCTGCTCAGCAGCAGTCTTAAGTCAGCCTACAATTGTGCAATCCTAAACCCAGAAATCCAATTGTCCTGGTTTCAGCTGGGACAGACTTAATTTTCTTCCTAGTAGCTGGTATAGTGCTGTGTTTTGGATGTAGCACTACAAGAATATTGATAACACACTGATGTTTTAGTTGTTGCTGGGTAGTGCTTAGACTGGCCAAGGACTTCCCAGCTCTCAGCTCCGCCGGGTGCCCAAGAAGCTGGGAGGGGACACAGCAAGGACAGTTGACCCAAACTGACCAAAGGGCTATTCCATACCATATGACGTCATGCTCAGTATATAAACTGGGGGAAGAAGAAGGAAGCGGGGGACGTTTGCAGTGATGGCGTCTGTCTTCCCAAGTAACTCCTAACATGTGATGGAGCCCTGCTTTCCTGGGGATGGCTGAGCATCTGCCTGCCCATGGGAATTGGTAAATTAATTCCTTGCGTTGCTTTGCTTGCGTGCGCGGCTTTTGCTTTACCTATTAAACGGTCTTTATCTCAACCCACAAGTTTTCTCACTTTTACTCTTCTGATTCTCTCCCCTGTCCCACTGTGGGGGGAGTGAGTGAGCGGTTGCATGGTGCCGAGTTGCCAGCCGGGTGAAACCACGACATCAACTCTGTTTTCCTGAGTACTTGTGTAATTAGTCCAATTTAAATATCGGAACTTTAGGATTCTACATGGATTTTCATTACTATTTCTGGTCAACACACAACAGGAAACCACTTTCACTGGTCACATTATGTATATTCAAACCTGTTCTGACATAATAACCACCACATTAAATACTTCATTCCTTCTGGATATTACCAAGTAATTTGACAAACTGACTAATCTACTATCATCTTAGGTGTGCAAACTTGTTTCTCAACAGTGATAAAAAATAGTTCAGTTCATTTCATTATTTTTAATCCTAAACATTATTGAATCCAAGATGGCAGGTACCATTTAAGTATTGTAGCATTTCACAGTTCTTGCGTTTCTTTTATGCCTGTGTTATTTAAGTTTATTGCAGTTTTAAAGAAAAACTTTGTTACCTACTACTAACAGTTGCTAATTTTTTTTATCTTAATGCACCTTCCTTATTTAGACACGGTAAAACTGAATGTTGTAGACTGAACAATAAAATACAACACTACAGATAATACAATAACAGTTGAATGGCCACACAAGAAAGACGTTTACTGGACAAAAGTATTTTCGATTCAACTGGAAGAGGAAGTGTTTGCCCCAAAAACAAAACAGTCTGGGACAGATGGAACTGAGTATTCAGGTGGACCTATGGTACTAACATTTTCTGTGCTATTTAGATCCACATGGTTAGACAAAGGATGGAAAAATAAAGTAACAAGTTTTGTAGCATCTTTGTTTTTACTCAATTTGTCACTGTGACTGATGAAGACAGTAAAGACAGTCTATTGTTTTTTCTGGTTTTCACTTCACAGAGAAGGCACTTCTCCAAATTTGATACATAAAATTAATATAGTCTTTCACACCAGGATAAGAGTTCTAATTTGTATTCTGCATTTTGTTTGAAAATTAAGACATAATCAACCTCTGCTAATACTTTCCATATCATCTAAAAAAATGAGAAACTGTAATTATTCAAAAAAAGGGTGACTACAAAATACATCAATCAAACTGTATCTTGATCAATTCTATTAAGAGATCTGAATTGCTACTCACAGTAGCAATGATTCACAAACATTTGTGAGGCTTTGGGGAGATCAAACAGAAGTTAAAGTAGGAACACAATTTCACTACATTATTTTTAACTGTTACTTACGATTTTCCTTGTGGCATACTTTCAGGTACATAAACAAAGTATGACATGTTGGTGAACTGTGGTGGTCGACATCCAGCAATTACAGAAACAGAGGCTGGAGACCCTCTGCTTCCAAGTTTATCTGCTGCCAGTACAGTCAGTAAATACTCCTTGTCCCTCACCAATGGCAAACCTGTTGTTTTAACCCAGCCAGTGTTCTTCTCAACTTCAAATCTGTCTTCACCACCTAAAAAGAACAGATCCACAAATGGTTGTCAGCAAGAACATTTTTACTTGATTAAAATTAAGAGGAGATTATGGTATCAATTCCCAAGTTGGTTTTGGCTTAGAATCAGCATGCACACAAAAATTCAGAAGTTTGTTTAGAACTTAGAAATCAGTAATTACATTCATGATTACATTTCTAAGTTGCATTTTACTTCTCTGGGTAATTATCACTCTTCTTTATCCTCCAATACTTTGCTGTTGTTTGACCCTAAATATCCCCTACCAGAAAATACCCTGCTCGATTCCTGGCCAAGAGGAACAAATTAACATTTGGAGTGATATTGCTACTCCCCTTCTGCTTGGACAGTTTTGAACCATTACTGAAGTTTCTTTTAAAAGTCCCACAAAAAAAATTATTAATGAGTCTGTACTAGTTTGCAAAGCTAAGGCACAATGCAGACCCTCAAAAATTTGTTAGAAATGAACCAGAAGTACAACTCCCACAAGGGGGAAGGAAGATTAACCCTGTCCACCCAACAAACTGTGCTCTACATACTGCCCTGTCTCATAAACAGGCAGTCCAGCAGAGAGGTGCTGGCTACTGCTGCCATTGCCACCCCCTTGCCAAAGCCCTGAGGAGTACTGACTGCTCCAGCCCCCATCATCCCCCGGGGCACAACCTGGGCAGGAACCCAACTCTGCAAGAACACACCTCAAATCTGGCAAATTTGTCTGTACCCTCAGTAAAAGTTGATTTTTCTCACACACACAGAGCTGAAGGCTTATGAACGTTTTGCAGGGGAAAGGGAAGATCTTTCACTAACGAAACTGAGGATGAAAGACAAAAAAGTCACAATTGTGAAGCCTAATACACATGGAATGAGAAGGTTAAAATTTACCTTCTAGGAGAAAATATTCTACAGCTCCACGGATCCCTTCATCTGCATCCACCGCAAGCAGCTTGTATACTTCAGTACCTCTCGCAGCTTCAGGGGAAACCACAGCCAAGAACGGGAAGGGCTCCATGGCCCATTCAGGTACGTTGTCGTTCACGTCTGTCACAGTAAGTGACAGGCGCACCAAGTACCAATCCTTTCCTAACAGTCACAGAAAAAATGAAGAAATACTTAGACCGCTACTTGATGGCATTCAGAGTAACAGAAACACATCAATTCCTCAGTGTGTATTGTCTACAATATTGTTGGCATGTAATCCACAAAAAATGGGGTTTTAAGGCTCTTCTGCAATCAACAGTGTCCAGACTGGGCCCACTCGTATTATATTCTACTAATATCTTTTTTTAGGAAAGACCACACATGCTTAAATTTTCAAAATCTAAATACATGTTTTCTGAAAAGTTTTTTTGCTGAAGAAAACGTATCAAGAAACATTTTGTTTATGCAATGATTACAGCAACTCTGAATTTTGAAAATTAAGTATTTGTTACCAAAAAATCCTAACCAGTCTACCCTAACTAGTGATTTTCCTGGTTAGAAAGTTCACTCAAATCCTAATACAGTTTTGACTTCTATTAAAGATTAAATGCTGTTAAGAGCCAATCAACCAAAGAAAACCCTAAAACCAAGCCACCACAGAATGGAACTATTCAGTCTCCAAAAATCGACAACAGAAGATCCTTAGAAATTGAGGAAAAAGTATTTGTTTTACCTCTGCCATTATTAAATCAACCAATGAAAGCAGTAGAGGTCCTAAACAAATAATTAATATCAGGAATTGCTGAAAAGGTGGCAGAAAGGAAAAATGTCAGACTAAAGAAATTGCTCTGAATGCTCCAGCAATGGAGTTAAGCATTCCTGTTAAAGGAGGAAAGAGGGGGAAAATACCCTGGGCGAAGAAAGTTTCTGAAGACACGACCAAAGGACAGGATTAAAATCTTCATATTCCAAAGAAAGCAAAGTAATACAGAAGACAAAAAGCCATTTTCTCCTTAATAAATTTATATTATACTTTCAACCGAAAAAAAATGCTACCTTCAGTCACACACAGCTAGGTCAGATTTTGAAGCAACTTAGCTGGGGTAATACAAGACTGTGATAAAGTGAATATTTTTTTTTTTTTTGTAACTGATAATATTTCTCAGCAACATTAGGGAGCACAGTATAAGCATTACTTGGGCCTTTTGGCCAGCTTGGCTTCAAGTGAACTGACACTGAACCTGTAAAAAGTTTTGCTACAGAAGCCAACTTGAGTGTTCCTGCGCTCCATATTTAATGACTCTGGCTCCAAAAAAGTGGTGTACGTACACCCTGTCTGACTCTGAAAGCAGTACAACTGCATTGACATGGCACTATGGCCCAGCTAACAAGCCACAAGAAGTGAAAGGGAATGTGGTCCAGGTAAAAACAGCTGTCTACATTTACAACGCTATTTATCCACAAGTTTAATAATGGATGTAAAGTCAGAATTTTTAAAGTTGATGGTGTTAATACTTGATTTCAGTGTGTTTTTATTATTTATACATACATGAAAACATCTACACACACACTCATTTATTTTCAAAATAGCTTGACAGGAATTGAAACAAGATACAGAGGAACATCTAAAATTATCGGTTTTAATTTAAATCTAATCAATAATGCAAAGAACTTAGTATTTAAGACTCTAAATATAAAGTGTTGCCAAAATGTGTAATCTTGTAAACAGTGTTATCTTGCTAAGGAGGAGTATTTTCCCAGGAAGGTGTGCCGCTTAGGCTCAACAGCTGTACTCTTTCTCCCTCTCCACTTCCTTAATTGCAGCATTACATCCCTCTCAAAAAAAACCCCATGTTCCAACTAAAATATGTTACTTTTGTCTGATGTATGCATTTATTGATGTTATCCCTTCACTCCCACGGCAGTAGTAATACATCTTTCACATCCGTCTCTTGCAAGCTTCAGCTTTTCATAATTAGGAACCTCTGTCTGATGGCAAGTGGCATATTTAGCACACCGTATCATAATCTGCAATCTATAAACAACCAGTAAGTGGATTGTCGTAAAGAAAACTCCTTGGTGCTGTGATTAACAAAGTCAAATTTAAGTTTCTTAGTTTAGATTTGTGAGACTTAATCCATCATGACCTCTGAGTACTTTCTGTTCTTATCCAACAAATTCTTTTAACAGAAAAATCAGCGTTTATCCAAGATAATCACAGAAGTTCTTCTTAGTTAAACTTGTAAAACTGTATTAATTCATCTGGATTTTAGAACTGTAATTGTGAATACATAGCTTTTTTTTCCTTTCTCTGAAGAGCAACAGAAAGTGTATTGACAGTAACTTGTTAAATCCAAATGAGTTTCTTTGTAATTATATCCTGTACTCAGAATCTAATATTCCAGGGAATATAATATTAGCTTAAGATAGCACATATGAAAAAATGGCAGCTACAGCAAAACCAAACTTGCAATTTATCAAACAGTAAATCACAGTTTCCTGAAAAAGAACCTTAAACATGCCTTGCGCCATCACAGGACATGGATACATACAACACGCATTTTCACAGAAAAATTCTCAGTTATACTGTACATTGAAGTCTTACAAAGTCTTCTCGACTCCAAATGAGACGAATTGCGTGTGTTATGTACTGCACTTTTGCAGTCAGAAGTGTTGGGAGGCCTGGTGTAAGGATGCTCAATTCTGCTTCTCTAGCCAAATGTTCTTTATAACATTGCATGTGAAGCTAAAGGTTCTAAAGACAAACTTGAATTGCTGCATTACAAAAAAAGACCAGCATTGAGGTGAGGCTACTGTAGCCCACACTGTTATTGCACTGTCCTCATAGTCACCCAGGTATAATTCTCTTCAACGTTCAGACAGACTCTGTGAAAGCAGCTGCATGCTTCCTCCTCTGCTTCCAGATGCTGTTAAACTGCACAGCACACAAGAAACCAGAAGAACGTCCAAAAATCATGATGTAAGAAATAGCAGCATGGATACTATTTGCCGCTACCATACTAAATAGAATCAGGTATGTTTCAAAGGGATCTGTTTCATGTCAGAACATGCGTTCCAAAAGTCCCAGGGCAGCCAGTCTGAGCTACCTATGGAAACTGCAGCGGAAGGAACTTGTTAGATGCTGATCTGAGGTTGAAATGAACCACAGCGACCCACAAGGGGGCGAGTTCTAGATGAAAAGTGCCAAATGAGATCAGTGTCTCCTTGAACGCTCCAAAGATTTTAATTAAAAGGTTGTCCAAAAAGAGTGAGCACAAAAGGGAGAAGTTAAGTGTCAAAATTGCCCATCTCTTCTCAAAAGAACAGGTCTTGTGGAAGCTGTCACAAGTTTGTAAATACCCACTGTTAGCTTAGTTTGCCTGGGCATACTGCAAGCTTAAAATAGCAAGCACTAAATTAGAAGCTGAGTTAAGAACCTCTGAAAATCTGCCTCTACAATAGCAAGATCTATTGAGGATTTGAGTGCCACTTTGGTAACCCTGCCAGGAGTAGACAGGTTAGCAATTGTTGTCTCTCTGGGGTCCGGAAATCGATACCCTAATCAACCCATGAACTCATTCAGTTTCAAGTTCTGCTGAAGTTCTTAACATGCATGTATTCCTCTCTCCAAAAGTAAGTCATAATTAAAGAATAACTGATTTTTTATTGAACAAGAAGTAATAAACCTGTATACAGATTCCACTCTTGCAACTTACTGATTGTCAGTTCACTGAACATTAATATGCTGGTACTTAGTACATAATTACAACTGAGAAATAACTCTTTAAGGAAACTGTGGAAAACTGCATCAGGACCGGGATTAATCCTCACATGTCCTAGTAAACTTTATTAATCAAAAACTAAAAGGACTTGGACACACTCCTCCAGCTACTTGTGTTTTAATAGTTAAGAGACCTTAATGTCATTTGACATCTTGGCAAGATCAAAGCTTTCAGCAATATGTTGGTTACCTCTGAAACATCTGAAAACTCTTCACAATGCACATAATCGAAGAGACAGGCATAAGCGTCTCTCTTGACCAGTATACGTAACCACTGCAATATGACCTTACAGATCTTATCGGTATGTTATCTTCTTCCATCAGCCATAGGCAATCTGATTCACAAGCAAAAATACTAAATAAATCACATGATTTCCCTTTCAGTTAGGGCAGTCTGGAGGAAAATGACTGTAAGTAAGTTTTCCTTTGACTGCGTACCATATATCAAAGCAAAAACTGTAACAGAAACACCGAACAGGACTGTGCTTCTCCGCACAGAGACCTACAAATGTGACCTGACAACTTGTAGAAAGAACATCAGGGTGTCCAATGAAGCATGATCAGACAAGGACTTGCCAGAGGACAATGAGTGTGATGAAGAGACTAACATGGACAATAATGTCTAATATATGTATGTCTAGCAGGACAACACATTAAGAATTTCAAAGTATACAGTCATAAATGTTATTTTTTTAAAGTATAACTCCACATTCTAATGAGTGCAGCAATTTAGAAGTTTTTCATTTGTTGTACTTATCATTACATATACATTACCAAACGCAGTCTCTTATATTTTGTAACTGACGTAGCTGCCTTCCTACAGAATAGTTGTTTTCCTACAGACCAGAGCTTAACTGGACCTTTAACTAATTTTTAATAAGGTATACAAAATTGATTTTCTCCCCTATTTATGAAAATTATTTGTGCTTCAAAAGAGTGGCAGGAAGGAAATTTTAGAAACATACGTCTCTTGATAGTTAAGATGTCTCAATGCCTCCTTCCATTAAAACACCCCCACAAACGTATCTTGCAGATACATTAATTATACATGTAAATCACTGTGTTAATAGTAGTAGTACATTGCTATGTATCTGCATTCATCTATTATGATTGATAGTAGTTTATAGTAGTATAGAAGTACTACATGTACAGTAATACAGCTACATTATGGGAGAAATAATATGTTACAATCTCACTCAAAATCTTAGCAGAAACAGCTTAAAACTGGTAATCCTCTGTGGACTTGGGTTAAGTCCTACAAACACACAGACAGGTTCTAATTCAATTATCTGATCCGAATACCAGGCCCCGATGAGAAGTGGAGGTACCTGCAACTATATGGTCAACCCACCATTGAGATCCTAAGACAGGAATCTGACACAGGCTTAATTATCCCTAAAAGAATTTTCAAACTCTTTTGTAACAGACTACCAATAAGAATTTCCTCAATATTAAACACT